TGTTTTTTGTTTGGTGGTTTGTTTTTTTTTAGAAAGCGTGTATATTTTTGTGTTTTTTAAAGAACAAACCGCAGTTACAATGAATGGTGTAATAAGGTACAGCGATGGTGTCATTTTTGTTGCTGCTGCATGTCTTTTGCTTTCTTCTCTGTTTTTTAACTTCTGCAGTTTGGGAAAAGGGACAGGCAAGGTTTTGCTTCATGGATGTTCTGTGTTGGTCATGGAGACTCCAGCTGGGCAGTAATCACAGACCCACCATTTAGGTTGGAAAAGACCTGTAAAATCACCAAGCCCAACCATCCACCTAACGCAACAAGTCTACCACTGCACCGTGTGCCTAAGTGCCACGTCCACACATCTTTTAAATACCTCCAGGGATGGAGGCTTCACCACTGCCCTGGGCAGCTTGTTCCAATGCCCACCCATGCTTTCCATGAAGAAACTCTCCCTGACATCTATCTAAACCTCTGCTGAGGCAACTTGAGACCGTTTTCTCATGTCCATCACTTTTCACCTGAGAAAAGAGACTGACACCTCCTCTCAGGTAGCTGTAGAGAGCACTAAGGTCTCTCTTCAGCCTCCTTTTCTCAAGACTAACCAGTGCCAGTTCCTGCAGCCGCTCCTCTTAAGTCATGTTCTAGTCTCTCCACCAGCTTCGTTGCTCTTCAATGAATGGGTTCAAACTTCCTGCTCCTCCAAACAAGGTCTGTATTTATAGCTGACCGACAGTGGATGACACAGGTGAACCCTTCCCTTCTTTATTTATGGATGGGTAGGTCATAGATAGGCCTGAAACTTTTGGTTAGTCCTACTTCAAGAATTTTTATTTCTTTTAACTCCTCCCAAGATGATACGGATTTGTTTTGGTTTATACAGCCTTCTGGAGAAATAAGCACGTAGCTTGGAAAGAAACTTATCAAGCTCTCTCAAAAAATATATATTAATTGCACTTACTTCCAGAATTGTTTTTTTAACTGTACTGTTTTCATTGCATTTTGAAAATTGTACTGTTTCTGTCAACATCCACACTCACAAACCAACTTAGAGGGAAAAAGAGCCTCAGACCCTATAATGTTTTGCTGGTGAGCTGAAAGTAGTTCTGTAGTTGATTGTAGTATCATGTTGAATGTAGTTTTCATAATCTGTTATTTTTTTTTTTAATTATTTTTTTAATTTTTACCAAATACGGGATCTTCTAGAAATACATTCACTGGAGAATTTCTCACTGCAGAGTACAATTAAACAGATGCTTTAATCCAGTGGGATTTATACTCAAGCTGAGAATGATTCATGTATTTTTTCTTTTTGAGGGTAGAGTTAGGATGTTTCAGTTTCATCCCAAATGAAGCAATAAGTAGTGCAAGATTTTAGGAGGATCTATTTCCTTTAGATCACACTTGCTTTATGCTAACATCTCATTTTTCATACTGTACGAGTAGAGTGCTTAGAAGAAAATCTTTGAACGTTGGTAGTACCATGGGCCATAGTAATTTGTTCTGCATATGCATGAAAGCTGTAATCATTGTTTTATTATAGTTTTGAGAGCCAGGTGTTAGGTATCTTTGTCTGTTCCTTCTGGTCCTATACCAAAGCAGGAAAAATCAACTGTGTTTTGTGCTTTAAGTTATATGCCAGTCATTGTTTTCTTTTTGTTTGCATCATGGAAGATTCAGGCTTAAAGCCAACAGAACCGGAGTGCAGTGACATAAACAAGCTCTAATTAAGTTAGAGAAGGAGGTCATATCTCAGAGAAATAAGCTGCCAATTAGCCTGAATGGTAATCCTGTCGCCACTGAACGACCAAATGCTGAAAACTGACAGTTCTACTGAAACTGAAGACGGGATGAGGATGGAAGATGAGGAATAAGGTTAAATGGCATGTAGAAAGAGGGTGCTTAAGGGATTTCTGATGTAGAATTTTATTTCTGCAACAGCTATTCACGTAGTAGTGCGTTTACACCCAATCCATTAGTTATGTTACTTGAAACAAACCATCTTTCCTGTAAGAATGAGGGTGCTCAGTATGCTGTAATCTTGATGTGTCACCTGAGAAAATGGTCTCTAAAAGTATGAAATGTAAAAAAAAAAAAATAATAGATTGTTAACTTAAAAGCAGTCAGAAATGTTGTTTAATACATTTTAAAGAAAAGATCTTGAATTCAACTGGTTATAGATAAAGATTAATACACTGAAAACAATGTGTTTATCAGGTTACTGAAAGGTGATAGAACAGACCTGATGGGAAGAGAAGAAGCAGAAAATCTTACCTCCCTTTGTTTAAGGTCATAACTGTCATTGCACTTTCCATTTTTTCCTTGCTCTTAATGTATGGCCAAACCTACTTAACCTACTTCCCTGCAAGCTGTAGCTATCAAACCATCAGTGATTACAGTCAAGCAAACACTGCTGTTTGCTTTTTCCAAATATAAACTGTTTTGTGGCCTCACGCATCAATTAATATGAACTTACATTACTGAATAATCGGTCTTATAAATCAGATGGTGCCTGTGAATGGTTACCTACTGGAAACTTGCCTGAGGGCCCCTTCTTTGCAGGCTGTTCAGGATGCTTGCATCAGCAAGGAACTGGCATCACAGTCTAAGATAGCACGCGTTCCAATAAAGCATCTAGTTTATATTTTATTATTATTTTTTTTTACAGTTACTTGTTCAAATGTAATGACAAATGGTAAGCATAGAGGAATATTGTGTAACTTGTCTGTTGGTAGAATGAATCTTTGATTAACTTTGCCATGTTAAAGTGGTCACTAGATGGCCTGCTAGCCTAGCATTTCCCTAACATTCATTCAGTTTGAATTCCTCTTGCTGCTATTTAAAATCTAGGAACCTGTTTTAAGTACCATTTTTGTGTCTGCTAGGGAGTCTAGATTTACTAATCCTACAAATTATCTAGATATTTAACTCATTAAAAAATGTAATGTGCCATAATCATATTTATGTTGCACTTTATTAAAATAAAATAATCTACGAAACAACAACAACAAAAATGAGCCGATCTCAAGCCATACAATCTCTCTGCTTGCTCTAATAGGGGCTTAAATGGCCCCAGATTAAATGTCTTGTTAAGCTGTTTTTGGCTGTTTCTTGCACTTGGGTAGAAATAACAATGCTGGTGTGGCCATGGCTGTGGTTGTCACTGTTTTCTACCTGATTCTTTAGGTAATAGTGGTGGGGATTCAGCTGCTTTTCTAGCAGGGCTGGATTGCCTGCTCTGGTTTTATGGCCTGTGGTCCTTCAGCATTGCTGGGGGTTCCTTCAGGCTGTCTGCATCCCCGCAGTGAGGTAGAGGGGTTGTTTACAGAAAATGCACTGTCAGACCTTTGTTGTTCCCATTGTTTTGCCCATCAGTGGGGCACCAAAAGCAGGATAATATTTGAACAAAAAAAAAAAACAACAAACAACAACAACAAAAACCTTTTAATAGCCACATTTATGTAAAGCTTTTGATGGTTTGTAATGCTAGAACTTTACGGCATGGTAAGAAACTAGGGTCCAGAGCAGGATCTTATGGGAAGCAGCATAATGTGGACCCAGTCACTATACTTTGCTTGTGAAGTCTGCGATTCGTAGCAGCAGGCAGTGCTTTTCTTTGGTTCTGGGCTTACTGCTACGGGGAGGTTGCTGCAGCATTGCTGGGCTGTAATTCTGCTTCTGTAATACAGGGCATGTTTTGCCTAAGTTGCTATCTAAAATAATCACTTCCCAGTTGAAGTCTGATATGTAATGGTTCAACTTTTCCATACACAATACCACCTCTGAGTGCTAGTTTGTTTATTTTTCTTTTATTTGTCTTTGGAGACACCAACAGTGTAAGGGCTAGCTAGACTCACCACCTCTTTACATTCCTGCCGTTGTTTTGTCTCCCAGTTCCTTTCATCATCCTGCTTCTTTGACTTTCCAGTGAGGTGGTGCCTAACGCCTGATAAGTGCTTGGATAAATGCTTTAATGCTCCTGGGCAAACTTTGCCTTTCCTATAGGCACACCCCTTTACTATGGATTGCAAATATTGGAAGAATAAAAAATAACTCCTTGTGCTCTTGTTACAGGTTTATGTATACTTTGCTCTGTGGGTGAGCTTCCTCCTCCCACTCCACTTCCAACAGATTTGCTTTACAGAATTAACTTAAAACCCCGTTTTAAAAAAGAAATATCTGCCATTTTTCACTAATGTTTTCCTACTGGGTATCACTGGAACATTGGACTGGGTTTTGATGCTTGACTCAACCCTCTGTCAGGAGACTCTTCAAAGTTTTATCACGGATGACCTTCCCTTCTCTTCCCCTCTCCTCAGAAGTGTGCATTTATCCTTACGAGGGGTTTAAGATCTAGAGTATAGTGAAATGAGAAAGTCTTGAGAAGGTTTTATTTAAAACCCATGGAGGAAGCTCCCCTCCCTTTCTTTTTCCAATATAAAAGTGATATTCTGTGGTATTTAGGTTATAATTAGGACACTGGAGTTATTTTACTAGCTGTAGGTGACACATCCAATTTATACTTCTGTATTAATGACTTTCAGTTTACTTCCCTATTACCATTGCTAACACATCTTGTATAATCAGTTACTTAATTCTGTAAGTTTGTTCAGTCTCTACAACATTTCTTTTTACTTCTTTAGCATCTATAAAAGCACACACTCAACCTTTCTGCTGTAGCGAATATAGGCATTAATCAGTCATAACAACTGCCCTTAATTCAGTAGTTAAATATTTACAAGGTAAGTGTTATAATTGTATGAGGTACTTAGTTTAAAAAAAATCTTCTTGCCAGAATGTTTCACTGTTACTACTCAAGCCAGCAGCGTTGCTAGCCATATATCATAATCTTGGATCATTGTTGTTTTTTAAACGAATAAAAATTGCTTAATGCACATATTCTTGGCACAGAGCAGTACAGCGTAGAATTTTACTTCTTGACCTTGTGTTTAGTGTCCAAGAAGCACTTGGACCGAACGCTAAATTCTGATTTTTCCTTTTGTACAGGACATTGTACCAGTGGATGCCTCCTACGAGGTGAAAGAGCTGTATGTGCCAGAAAACAAGCTGCAGTTGGCCAAAACTGATGCGGAGTCTCTGTTAACCTTGGAAATAAATAAGGTATTGTGTGTTCAGTTATCTCAGTACTGAAGTTGAAAAAACAGTCTGCTGCTCGGCAGAACTGTGTATAGTCAAAATACCTGTACTGATTACAGATTGTAACTTGATAGGCTTTTCTCTCCTTTTCTTGAGAAACACCACAGCATTTGTGTTTTCTTCCTTTGCTTTTTAGAAATAACAGTTGAAACTTCATAAGTAATGCCTGGTATTTCAAATAGTGTTACTTAGTTAATCCTAAGCATGGTGATTAAATTTACTGTGACTTTTTTCCACCCTTGTCCATAGACTAAATCATGCCTTGCATACCTTCAAAACAAGAGATAGTTGTTTCTAGAAGAATTTTCAGCTTACTTTCATAAACACATATTTTTTTAAATTGTAATGACCTAGAAATATGGTGGAAATCAGTTGCTGCTGCTTCATCTCCTTGTTGGTAACCTTCAGGTTAAAGTAGTAGCCTTATATATAAGGCTTATACAGATGCAAACTTTTCGAGGTAAGTGATCAGGTACTTACGCAGGTAGGTGTCCAGATCTAATTTATTAGTTTTTGTTTCGTTTTGTTTTCTGGTTAGAATGGGTTCATGCTACTTTTCTGGCTTCCAGCAGAGAATACTTGGAAAAGCATGGATCAACTTAATTGACACTGTTCTTACTTCGGTTAAATGCATTATTTTCCAGTTTGGAATTCAATTAGACAAAGCTGCTTCTGGCTGTTTATCTGTTCTTTCTGGTAATCTTTTTTTCTGAAGAATTAGGTCTAAACACAGATACAGTGCATGAGTTTTTTCACTGACTTTAACAGTATTATTATGAGCCAGCAGCGTGCCTGGCAGCTGACGACATTTGGGTTGTCCAGTCTGTGGAAAAGGAGGCTGAGAGGTGACCTCACTCTGTGTCATTCTAGATTCTTTTCACGTGTATCTGTAAAACTATATATTGCTTTGCTCTGGAATAAATTTGTAGGGTCACCATTATTAAGTTTCTGTAGCGTTGCACTCTAAATTGCTTCCCATCTAGCAAAACAAATTCTTTCTCCCTCTACTCCTAACGAGGGGTTTATTAAATATCAAGCAAGTATATAACGTCAGCTAGGGAAGAAAATCTGTGTTACGCTTGTCTCAACATAAATTAAACAATGTGATAAAATTAGTCATGCTTTTTACAAGAGAAACTTGCACAAGTGAAGTCAGTGGACTTTGTCCTTTGTCAAAGACTCTTGACCAAGTCTTAGTAATGCACGTGCAGAAATAATAAAGGCCACACACTGAGTCATAGTGTGACTGTTTAAATGGTATGGAAGGAAGTTCCCTGTAAGATGATGCATCTTAAACTGAAATAAGTACTAGTCCCGAGAGAATTTCACTTCTGGATTTTCTCACTACTTTCTGCAATAAAAATTTCCTTTCTAATCTGTTTTAAGATTTAACCTGTTAGTATTCACACGCCCCCTCCCCTCCTTATTCTGATATTTTTGTGGTAGCTGTATGTGGTGTAGGTTTTTGTTGCATTTATTTTTTAATAAGGCAAGATAACCAAGAGCTTAAAATAACTGCAGTTCTCCTTTTTTATTTAAGTCGAACATTTTCAAACATTTACAAATGAAGCACTTTTTTGTGTAACAAAATGATATTTGATGTTAAGCGCAAGACTGAAAAATAGCCAAAGTCACAAACAGTGTGGTTTTTTTTTTTTTCTTCTGGAGACTTAGAACTTTTTGTGATTAAGACTGTAACACCAAGAAATCTTCCATTTACACTGTGTTTTATGGACAAATCACGTTCTAAGATAATTACCATTAAATGTGAGCCATCGAGCAACAACTTTTATCTGCTCTGTTTCTTTGCAAGGTGGATATGCAATGGGTGCAAGTGCTGGCAGAAGGCTGGGCAACGCCCCTGAACGGTTTTATGAGAGAGAGAGAATACCTACAGTGCCTTCACTTTGATTGTCTCCTTGATGGTAAGATATTTCTCTTAGTAAAACCGAGGAAATTAATCATATTTCTAATCATATTAGAGGAAATTAATCATATTTCTGGAACACTGTTGATGCTTTGCTGTCCAGTGATGGTGTTGTGACACTTTTTCATGTTTCTGCACAGTCTGAGCTAAGAGAATAGGGTACTAAAATTGTTACTTTTAATGTATTTATTCTTTTTATTCCTATCACCATATTAGTTTGAAAAATCAGTGCCTTTCCTTTTTTGCCTTCACAAATTATAATTTATATTGTGGAAATGTTTTCACTTTTGAGAACATTTAAACCTGAAAGCCAAATTTCTGATTTGTTTGGAAGGAATTTATTTTAGAAGTTGAAATTGCAATTGAATTTGTTTAGCTCTGTGAGGAACAGCAAGAGATCTGTTCTTAAGTAGTGATGAAGAAAAGGACAACAAAGTAACTTGCATGCTCAAGTTGCAAGTATGAAATCAGAATGTGAGAAGGGTTTGTTTACGTACAATTGTCACATGCAATTGAATGACTCTACTGTAACAATTACCCTATGATGATTTAAACAAATATATTTTATTTTGTATTAGTAATGGGCTAAGAATGAACATTAGTTAAGGTAGCTGACAAGTGATATCATCAGGTTTTAAAATTTGAGTTTGATTCTCTGTCATTTATTTGATTTATTCTTCTTAGAAGACTGTTTTATTCAAACCTTTAGGGTTTTATTGCATGCTATATGAAAAAAGTGATAGAAGGAAACAGGAAGACAGGAATCTTTACTGTGTTACTCTTCTCTTACTGGAGACCAAATAGCAGGAAAAAAATGTCACGTGTCTTTCACTTCTATCGTCTTTCACTTCTTCTGTTGTCTCCAAACTTTTCCAGTTCCTCTTTTCAGAAGTCTCTGAGGTACTATTGTACCTACATAAGGGCATCCAGTTATTTTGGAGCATCTCAAGTTTGCAACAGCTTTTTGGGCTACTAGTTTGGTTTTCATTCCATTTGCCTTTCTGAGTGTCAAGCCAGATGCGTTGTACCCTGCGGTTGCTATGCATTTAACTGCTAAAATAGCTTGTAGCTCCTGCCCTGTAATCTTCTGTAAATCAGATTTTTCTATGAGGCTTTTAAAGCCTTTTATAGGTATTTCAGATACAGCGATACTAGAAATTCGTAAATTTCTCTTGCAGGTGTTTTTGATACCTCTTGTGGTGCTACAAATAAACTATAAGCTATGAAAAATAAATAACAATAAGAGGGAGACAAAATACCTGCAATGCATTTGTCCTTTGGGCCTTAAAAGGCCCAAAAGCTTAACTTACCCGAAATAGTCTCAAGCTGATGCTATTTTCTTCTGAGCTTAAATAAATAAAAATAAACAGCAACAGAACATCTCACTTAACTGTGTTGCCCCCGTTTCCAGTTAGTTCATTGGATGAAGATGGGTGTTAGAGATACTTATTGTTGCAGTCTCACAAAATTTTAATAATTAACCACTTAGAGGTCTCTTCCCAGTTGGAAGTGTTTATTTTCTTGCTGCTAAAGCAAGAGGTTTTTACTAATCATCAAAGTTGGAGTGGCAAATTGCCATCCCTGTGACTGTTGCAAAGCTCAATTTTATGATCCAGTTGTTTTGAAAATAACTCTGGATGGTGAGACTCAGCTGAGGAGAGGATATGCAGCACACTTTTTAACCTTTGAATTACAAAGGAAGGGAGATAGAATTACTTACCTTTTTTCTCTTATCCTTTACACCCAGCTTCATTGTTTTTAACTTCCTATCATGCTTAGAGTATGATTGAGAAGGTTTTAAAATATGTATTGCTTAAATTATGGGCAAACCAGCCTTATTTAGAGCCTGTCTCCACTGAAGCCAACAGCAAAACTCAAATTACCTTCAATGGGCCCATGACTTTTCTCCTGGAGAGCACCCAAGAGTTTTGCACTCTGTTGTTAAATCTGTTTTTATTATAATTCAAGCAATTGTATGATAGTTGCAGTATTTACGCCACTGGTTTCTTAAATCTTACCCTTATAGTCAGGAAAAACAAGACTCCTAGCATCTAGCAGTGAAGTAAATGTTTAAAAATGAGGACCACGTAACCTTTAAGTTCAGATACATTGGGTTATTTTCAGAAGTTAGTAGCTGGTAAGCATTCAGCTGAACAAACTATGCAAAATGTCTGCCTGATTCAACTTTTTTTTCTGAAATAGATACACACTTGAGTCTGTTGTATGATAAACTTACAGCCTGGGCTGTAACTTTTTAAGAGGTTAGATTTCCAAAATGTAATTGATGACCACTGCTGTGGATAATGGCTTTTTTGTTTCTGCAGGGGGAGTCATTAACCTGTCAGTGCCTATAGTGCTAACAGCTACGCAGGAAGACAAAGAGAGGCTGGATGGGTGTACAGCAATCGCACTCGTGTACGAGGGTCGCCGCGTGGCCATTCTGCGTAACCCGGAGTTCTATGAGCACAGGAAGGAGGAACGCTGTGCCAGGCAGTGGGGAACGACGTGCAAGGAACATCCCTATATTAAGGTGTGTGTTTAAAAGTTGAAAAGCTAGTCCTGTTACCTGCCCTGTCTGCGGACATCTCAAGTTGATGTATGTGACTGGTGTATTTTGACACCAAAACTTCTTGGAGAAATACCTAAAACATCTGAGTGGAAAAAAAGGTGCTTTTTTGTGTAGTGCAGCTGTTGAGTAGTCTATACTCAGTGTGAAAATCTGATGTCCATAAGTACCCATGAAGTGAATTTAGGATGCAGAATCTGTGCTACAGAGGAGCCTAGTGCCTAGGAAATTTATCTCCTGTGGACCCGGATGGGTCATCAAAACTCCTTAATAGGTGGACACATGCATCGTGGAAGCAAGAAAACTTCTTTTCTGCCTGTATGTGGAGCACGTGAGAATTGCCTGATTTAAATGCCCTTGAAACAAGCACCCTTCCTGGAGAGTTTGTAATTTAACTCTCCGGGGAGTTACTTCCCATCCGTTGTGCTCAGAATGTTTTATTGTCTTGACCTTATCTGTATGTCATACTGAAGTATTTTAATTGTATCATTAATTCTTGTGTTGTTGAGTTTAGTTTTGAAAGATGCTATAATTGTTAGATTATAGTTCCGTGGAGCCCATAAATATGTTTCTTTTCCCATTTCTGTCTCTCTAATATCTCTTTGTTTACATATACGACTTAAAATCAGATAAAAGGAAATAAACCTCAAATTATGAGCTTGCAATTAAAAGGGAAAGCCTTTGATGTTTTCTAAAAGCAGCTGTATGACTGATAGTTATACCTGTCTGAAAACTGTTTTTTTGAATTCTTAAAAATTTTTTATTAATGTGTAATGACATCTTTCACTGAGTGAAGCTTTACAACTCCAACCATACAGTTAAGAGTATATCTGGAAAAGGACATACCCTGCTAGATAGAAGTAAGAGTATTCTGGAAGATGTCCTCTGTGTTCTGTGCTGATGAACATAAGACTACCCTTTTACTGAAAACTTAAAGTAACACAAATGTAAGAAATGCTAAGAAAATCTCATGCAGAAAAGATTTAAATGACTTCTTATCATACATGTATATTGGCAATATCAGAATGACATGGCTGATACTAATGTAGAAGATGAGAAACCATCTTCTTATGTCTGTACTGGTGTGTATAGTGGTATCACGACAGCATATCCATGAATTTGTGCTTTATAGTATCATGAGAGCACATAAATCTTGTGGCTTTTCTGAATTCATCAGAAATCCTTGGGTGCCTGAGAGCTAACGTAGTGCTGATTTTCTCGTCTTCATGTTTTTCTCATGCTTTTCCCTCACACCTTGATAAGATGTCAAAATCTGGCATTTTCTTGGGGAATGGTTTGGTGACTGCAGCATCATTTAACTCCAACAGCAGACCCTCTATCTCAAAGTAAAAAACCAACAACCCAAATAACCAAAAAAAAAAAAAAAGAAAAGAACAAAAATCACACTTAATTGTAACGTCTTGACTTGTGGGTTTGGTACACACAAACTTTTCTGTTGTATCAAGGAAGTTTGTCATCTCTAAATGACATCAGGCTGAAAAATGACTGGAAATGTATATGAAACTTGAAGACAAGAACAAAAAAGCCTTTCAAAAGCAATGTGTTGTCAAAAATCACTCAGATTGTTGATTTCTATGGCCATTGATAGACTATGTTAGGCAGCTTGCTGTAAGTATTATTTTGATAAAGGGTGAGGTGGTGTTGGACGATACTAAAAGAATTGTAGTGAGCGTACAATACATGTTGCCTTGATAAAGTGCTGAAGTGAAAAAAATCCAAAAGCTGTCTTACTTTAAAGATCTGATTTTATTCATAAATCAGATGAGTAAATTAGAACTGTTTTATTTGATATGTTATTGCTGACCAGAACCATGTGAACTGCTGCATGATACTGGAAGTGCATTAGCTTTGACCAAAAACTGTAAAGCATCCAACTTCCTTCTACTCAATATATTAACTTTTCCAGCCATTTTTTTTTTTTGTTATATAATAATGTTGGTTAAGAACATGGTTTTCTTGCTTTTCTATATATTGGAGGAGATGGGGGAAAACAGTAAGTTTTGTTCTTTCTAAAAGAAAGGCATAAGTCTGCCATGGGTTAGTGCCTCTCTTCTGCATCATGGTGTATCATGTTTGGACTATGTTCCAGTGATTTATTTTTATTTTTATTTTTATTTTTATTTTTATTTTTATTTTTATTTTATTTTTATTTTTATTTTATTTTTATTTTATTTTTATTTTTATTTTTATTTTATTTTTATTTTATTTTATTTTATTTTTATTTTTATTTTTATTTTTATTTTTATTTTTTTTTTTATTTTTATTTTTATTTTTATTTTTATTTTTATTTTATTTTATTTTATTTTATTTTTATTTTTATTTTTATTTTTATTTTTATTTTATTTTTATTTTTATTTTTATTTTTATTTTTTTTAAATATTGGTGCTTGATTTCAGACTGTTAAATGCAATTAACTTGGAACTCTCTCTTTTGTAAATACTGTGCTCCCTTTGTAGTGGTCTCAATGCTCAGAACAAGTCGATAAGCAATCCCAGCATGGATTTTTCATTTCTTTTCCTAGATGGTTATGGAGCAAGGGAACTGGCTGGTAGGTGGAGACCTACAGGTCCTTGATCGTATCTATTGGAATGATGGACTCGATCAATACCGTCTCACTCCAGCTGAGCTAAGACAGAAGTTCAAGGAAATGAATGCTGGTGAGTAATCTCTTGTTGTTTTGTTTCTTCCTATAAAGATTTATCCAAACGCCTGCTGCCTCAATACTGCAGGGACAAGCCTTGTTTCAAGGATAGAGAATCTCAGTGCTCTTTTAAGTGGTATTCTTTGCCTTTTACTAGAACTAATTTTTGTAGCCTCAGGTACTATCTTGCCGAAATGCACAAGAGAAGATGGTAACCCCTGAGGTTCTGATTTTATCTTTCCATGCACAATAGACATGTTATTAATGCAGGAAAAGATAATGTTAAAATGTGGTAGAAAGCGATTTAAATATCAACAGATTCAGCTTGATCTATAGAGGTATGGCTGAGTGCTGAGCTTTCATGCTCTTAAAAATACAAAAACCTGTTTTCTGGATTTCACAGGCTGTGTGAGGTTGGAAGTGACTTCTGGAGGTCATCTAATCCAGTCCCACTGCTGAAGCAGGGCCACCTAGAGCTGCTTACTCAGGACCATGTTCAGGCAGCTTTTAGTATCTCTAAGGAAAGATATTCCACAACCTCACTGGGCAACCTGTGCCAGATTGAATTCTGTTTGACTTTAGCTTTCCTAGCTTCATCCCTCAATGCTCAGAAAATGTCTGTGTTCTTTCCAGGTTGTGTGTCCTTGCTTCTATCCTCCCTATGCTTTTTTTTTTTTTTTTGGTGGTGTTTTGTTTGAGTTTGGCCAGGAGCACCTTGTTCATCCACACAGGCATCTGGGTGTTTTTGCTAGACTTCCTCCTCATTTGCACTTGAGTTCAGAGGAGGTGATCCTTGGATATTAAGCAATTTCATTGGTTGCTTATGGGAGACCTCTCAGTTTAGGCAGTTTTGCTGTCTTATAGGGTGCCTTTATTCATCTTAATTTGCAGAAGGGAGAAAACCTGTTGCATCTTTTTTTTTTTTTTTTGAAGGGTTTTGTAATACATTAGGATGGCAATTAATTTTGTTCTTACTGAGCCTAAACTCTTCTAATCCATTTAGGTAAAGGAGACTTAATAAGGTGCATTAAATTCCCTTATATTTGTTTTGTTGCAAATATCCATTTACATGTATTCTCCTGATACATTGAGCCTTAAAGACAGGTAGCGTAGTTTTGGTTTTCTACTGCAGTTTAGCTGGATAATAAGTGCTTATGCAACTGAAAAATCTGAAGAGGAGATCATTGCTATTGGAGAAACTAAAGCAACTCTGTTCAAGTTTCAAAAGTGGAGGAAGCTGATTAATGTTTTTTTAGTACTTTTTTAATTAAAATTTGCTTATTGAGTCTAACCATGTAAAATAATGACCTGTGACTACTGCTATTGCACTTAATAGAATTGAGAGCAAAGATTGTACTATCTGAAGATTTTTCTCTTGTTGTACAACTCCTGATAAAATAACTTGCCTTCCTTATCTTTTGTCTTTTTATTTCCTCTAGATGCTGTCTTTGCATTCCAGTTACGCAACCCAGTGCACAACGGGCATGCGCTTCTAATGCAGGACACTCACAAGCAGCTTTTGGAACGTGGCTACAGGCGCCCCGTGTTGCTCTTGCATCCGCTTGGAGGCTGGACAAAGGAGGACGATGTTCCTCTCATGTGGCGCATGAAGCAGCATGCTGCGGTGCTGGAGGAGGGGATCTTGAATCCAGAAACAACGGTGGTGGCTATATTTCCTTCCCCCATGATGTATGCTGGACCAACTGAGGTAAGTACGTCAGGAGTTTAAATCAACAGCAGCAAAACCAGAACCTTTTGCTGGTGTGCCTAACCCCTCTGGTAGTGCACTAAAATATTTTGGTTTGTGCTGTGCCTGACATTCATGGGTGGTGCTTTTTTAGTGGACAGAGAAGACTAAACTTACTGGGAAATCAAACTGTAAAAGATCCCTCTGTTATCAACCAGAATGTTCTGTATTGAAGGATTTTGTTTGGAAAGGGCAGAAGACAATGTTGTTCTCATGCTCGTTTTCCTTAGAGTTAGAAGGGCATGACAATGAATTCATCTTTCCTTCTTTTTAGGACCTGTTTCAGAATCAATTCCAAGATCAATTACTGCATCTTAGGGTTGTCCTGAATATTCAGATACTTTAGTTGATTACTGTTAAGTGAAGAGTGTGTATATTGGAGGGCTATACACAAATTAGGAAAAAAAAATGCTTTGTTTATTTTTTGGCAAACATAATTTAGAAAGAATTATTTCAAGGCTTTTATATGAAATAATTCTTTGGCAACACTTTATTTAAAAGCTAGAACTTGGGTTGGAACCCCAAGAGTTTGTGGAAGTTCAAATTCCGACTAGGCTCAAGTGGTTAATTCTGTTGTAGCTTTGTGATTGATAGGAGAATACACTGGTGGAAATAAATTAGACGGAAGGCACTTCCTTTCTAGTGGCTGTTTGACTGATCAAGCAGAGCTTGCAGTGCCTTTCAGTCCAGAGGAGGAACTGTAGTCCAGATCCAGTTGAGCTATGTGAGTGAGTTACTGCAGGGAATGTTGCAATGTTCCCCGTAGACCTTTTCTGAGAATTCATAGAAGTCTTTTACTTCACTCTCATACGCAGGAATGTATGAGAAGGAATGAAATCCACAGTCCTTATTCTGGATAGAATAAGAATTTTCTCCAAACCTATGCAGCATTACCAGTGACCTCAGAATACTGCCTGTCAATAATTTGTGTAGCCAAGAAATAAGAGATTCTTCCTTTAATCATTTTCTGTAGGTTGTTTAAGACATTGGTACCAGATTTATTGCTGTAGTGCAAATGATTTGCAGAGCAACAAGCTCAGTATGGCTATCAACAGGATGGACACCTTTCAAATTGTGAGATTTCAAATGACATGCTTCATAAGCACCAATTTAGTGTTTTTCTGTTTTTAGCATTCCCAGTAATTACCTTGAAAGAAAAGGAACAGTTCTACAAGGAAAATCATGTATCAGAGTGCAGTGAATTTAAATTCTTACTAAACCGTTACAGGTAATTTAGTGTTGTTGAGACTGCTTTAGGATAGCAGGACCTTAATCCTCAGTTTATTCTGTTCCAAACACTAGTAAAGTAAGTAGTTTTTTAAGCATCCTACTATGCAAATGAAACAGGAGCGTGGTATGCCTTAGCTGTAAGTTTGGTGATTCACATAGTTGATTCTTTGTTCTGGTGTGGCTCCGCAGTGAAAAGAATATCTGTTTGATTGGGGGGGAAACAGGGTAGTTACACAGTGCACACATTTTAAAGGTCATATTTTTAACTGTTTTCTTTTAACCTTTTCCCTTGTCTGTGTTCTAGGTTCAGTGGCACTGCAGATCACGGATGGTTGCAGGAGCTAACTTCTACATTGTAGGGCGAGATCCAGCAGGAATGCCGCACCCTGACACTGGGAAAGATCTGTATGAACCAACCCACGGTGCTAAAGTGTTGACAATGGCCCCAGGCCTGCGAGCACTGGAAATTGTACCCTTCAGAGTTGCAGCTTATAATAAGAAAAAGAAATGCATGGACTATTATGACTCTGAGCGGTAAGTCATGTTTTAGTTCTAAAACATTTTGAGCAGCAGCTACCTTTTCTTCCCCTGCACCCTCCAGTAAAAGAGTAGTTTTTAACTAGTTTTATATAGCTAAAATATACCAGTCTTCAGAGTCATTTTTAGACCACTGATACAACTTGACTTCAGCCATGATTTGGGTGCAGTTCCACAGCACAACTTACCTGATGCAACTTGAGTTGCCGCTGGAAGCTCCCATTTTCCTCCCAGGTACTGGATTTTGTGTAATTCTGGAACAAGCTGGCACAAGTAGCTAGGTCTGCAGGAAAATATTATTACTCGTTTTAATGGAAGGATTAGTTTTCTGCTGGTTTATCTTCCTAAATATGCTTGCTTGGTGTCAGGTAAGCATCAGATGTGATGCAGGAGAATCAATGGGAGAGTGCAGCAGGGAGAAAGAAGGTAGTGGACAATGTAGTGGCAACTAGCTGCTTGCTTAACAATTATGCAAAATGGTGCCCTAAGTCCGTTGTATGACCCAGGAGTTTTTAACTGTCTTTTGTTTTTATGATTTAGTTACAGGACAGGTAATTTTGTCTTCTGACTATCCCAAGATTATTTGCATGTGGCATAACAGAGTCCAAAACTTACTGCATATGTTGCTGTGGTGTCAATGAGTGGAACTGGAAAGGAGATTTGTCATTTTAGTTTAAACCTCTTTATTCAGATTATTGAAACTACTTTTAAGGCAAACTGCAGTTGAAGTTAGTACTGAAATACTAACTGAAATAAATAACTGAAAATTTTCAGCTGCTTATGCTACAATTATACAGAGTATAAGTCTCCAAAGATGTCACTGGCTTGTGGCAATCAACCAACATATTTTATTCAGCATCTTGTGTTTCTCACAATTAATTATACTTCAGTAGATACTGTGCTGGCTCAGCCTTAGTCGCAAGTTATATGAATACTTTATATTTCAGCAGTAAATTCCAAGCACCTGAACTGGCCTGCTTTTATTTTTGAAAGCTGTAAAGTGTTATCTTCTCTTGCACAACTAAATCTAATTTTACGGTAAGTTCTTGCATTGTTTGGAAATAAGAAGCAGCAAGACAAAGGCAAATTTGCTGAAACCTGACAAGAATTAAAATAGCTTCGCTGTGTGTTACTCTACAATGTCCATATGTGTTTGGAAATTTGATGATTTACTACACTGCAGATGTTTTGAAATAGAATCTAATCAGGGAGGCTTATTTAGCAATTGCAGTTTGCTGATGTTGTTCTTCCTTCCTCCTTCCTCCCATTTAGGCAGCATTCCAGTATAAGGCTTCCCTCAGTGCTCTGAAGCATCTCTTTGGATAGTATTGCAACCGGGTGTCTTTTTTTTTTTTTTTTTTTTTCAACCAAGTGTAGCTCTGGGTAGCAGCATCAGACCAGACCTACAAAGTGATGCAGATGGCACTTTTATTAGAAGGAATACAATTAGAGGGAAGGATACTCCTAACATATGACATGAAAGTCTTCCTACACTTACTGCCTCATAGACGGCTAGCTGTTGAATACTTCACTACCTTTGTGCCATTCATTATTTGAGATGTGCCTAGAAACCCTTATTGCTGTGCACAATAACTAAATCCTGATGTAAATTTTGCTAGTTTTGTCCCAGCTTGTATTCATTATACCATAACAGTCAAAGGGTTGTTGTAGTAGATACTACGGGTATTTGTCCTGTTTGTTTATTGTCCAAGTGATTAAATAGGTTGGTTTGAAAGATCACAGAACTGAAGGGGTTGGAAGGGACCTCGAAAGATCATCGGGTCCAACCCCCCTGCTAAAGCAGAGTCCCTAGAGCAGGCAGCCCAGGTAGGCGTCCAGATGGGCCTTGAATATCTCCAGAGAAGGAGACTTCACAGCCTCCCTGGGCAGCCTGTCCCAGTGCTTTGTCACCTTCACCATGAAGAAGTTCTTCGTCATGTTGGTGTGGAACCCTCCTGTGCTCAATTTTGTGGCCATTACCCCTTGTCCTGTCCCCACAAACCACTGAAAAGAGGTTGGCCAAATCCCTCTGTCCCCCACACCTCAGGTATTTATACACATTGATGAGATCACCTCTCAGTCTTCTTTTCTCCAGGCTGAACAGCCCCAGGTCTCTCAGCCTTTCCTCATAGGGAAGATGCTCCAGGCCCCGTATCGTCTTTGTGGCCCTCAGCTGGACACTTTCCAGGAGATCCCTGTCTTTTTTGTACTGGGGAGCCCAGAACTGGACACAGTTCTCCAGGTGAGGCCTGCCCAGGGCCAAGATAAATACAACAAGACCAAAGTGAAAGAGTTCTGCTGGTGCAGGATAGATTTGATTTAGATCAAGGGGAGTAAAAGTGTACCTCTGTCATTAGCCAGAGTAAATGATTAATAACTAAAACAAACAAACAAAAACACAACAATACCTCTGATAAGAGGTTTGCCTTTAGTTTGAGGCTTTTTTTTCTGTCACTGTCTTGGAAAAAAGCTCATAGAGCTGTTACCATGCAGCTTTACCTTGCTGCTGTCAGCATGCAGACCATTTGTCCTGTCCTTCTCTGAATGCTGTTTGTAAGCTGCAGGCTGGACTGGAGTGTGGCAGCAAACCTCTAGATGGCAATGCAGATGCATGCAGGCTCGAAGAGAAAACCATTCTTGCTCCTGCTCACCAGAGGCAGAACACTGTGGTAGGCTCCAGACAGAGTTAGAGCTTGGGTGGGTGCAGCTGGCTGCATTTCAAGATAGTCTGTAATGCCAAAAACATAGACTCCTGGACCATGTGGTGTTTGGCTCTGTAAGGAGAATGGCAGGGAACAGTGGGTTGTCTGGAAACATGAGTGTCAGTGGTGCTGGAGCACCCTTGGGTATGAAACAGTCATGTTCGTGTAAGTCTTTCCTGAGCTCACCACTTACGTGGTGAAAACCACAATGTGAAAATGTGGGGAAGAGGGCTGTATGCATAGAGGCATTGCTCTGGCTTGTTTGAGGAATGGGTAACTTGACTTCTGTCGCATCTAATTCAATTCCTTGAGGCTTGGATAGTTGACAGGCAATAGGCAGTTCAAGAACTTACATCACCGACAGAGGCATGGAAGTTTACATCAGGCATTTACTATGTGGGTTTCCCCCAGACTGAGCTGTAGGTGAGCTGCATGTCTTAGCTGCTGCCCCCACGACCTTCCGATTTTACAACAGGTATGTGTCACGATGCAGACTTCTGAAGACCACCACAGATTTTAAATCCTAGCTTTGGGTCTGGGAGACTTAATCTTCTGAGTTCACAGTTCTTGTCCTGCGAGCAAGCTCAGGCCTGCCCCAGAGGAGTTGTTCACCAGGAATTCGGTCATCCACAGGGCCACATCACCAAGCAATGGCCAAAGGGAGCTTTTTGGAATGATGTGTGACCTGTGTGTTGGTAACTGCAGGCAAAAGGCTGAAGTCTGTCAGTTCTTTGTCATTGTTCTCTTCACTGTGCCATTTCCACCGTGTTGGTGACTCAAGGGAGCAGATGTCAGAAGGAAGCTGGGTCCTGAGATGGAGACTGCTGTGAGAACAGAACTCGTTCTGGTTCCTGGCTTTTCTGAGATCCAAATTTGGTAACTCCTTGTGCCTTGGTAGTCTAAATTCAACCACTCCTGAAACAGAACTGAATGTGGATCAGTAGCTGAAGGTGGTAGCAGACATGTTTTGGAAATGTTTACAGAGAGAACTGTAGTTACAATGGAGACCTTCCAATGAACATCTGATCTGAGAGCCACTATCAGAAGTGTAAAAACAAGAACCCCATAAACAACTACCTACTGCTGAAATCTGTTCAGAAGAAGTTGGTATGTTTCTTCAGCCAAAAAAGCCTCTCTGTTACCACAAACAAGTGTAGTTTGGGATTGGTGGCTTAGTAGTTGTTTGGGTGAGCAACGATTCCTAATTCTTTGCTGAAGACCGGTCCTAAAAATGCAGCCACAGACTGCTGCTGAGGAAAAAAAATAATTAAGAAAGGAAATTAGTCTGACAATTCAACACAAAACCCAACAAAACACCCAACACACGTACAGCCAAAAAATAATTAAAAAGAAAAAAAGAAAAACCTCCCTGCAGTGTTTGGAAAAAATGGCTTTTTTTTTTTTTTTTCCATCCTTGAAGAAAACCCATGAGAGCACTTCAGCTAAAAGGAACCCATAAGTAAGGTTACCATAGCAGGCTGTTCATGTGCTTCGTGAAATGTGAATGAAGCATGGGTATCTGAAGAGTAGTGATGATTTTGACTTTAAAAGTCCTGGGAATAAACTATGAAATGTGGTTGTCATAGCTGCTTGCATACTATCAAGTCATACTTACAGGTAGCTGTTTCAGCCAAGTACTTACTGTTCCAAACTTGTTTGGTGTGATACCTGATTTTAAAGTGGCAGCAAGAGGTTGAAATAGGCATGCTTGATTATGCATCTTAATTTAGTTCCCTGAAATATTGCTTCACAGTTAACATTAGTATATCATTTAGGATACATTAAAGCACCACAGCAGCTCAAAATACCTAAGCCCTTCTGCCAGTCAGCAAGCCAAGTAGAGGATTTGCTTTCCTTATGATGTTATTAAGCACATAGGTTATGTTTCACTTTCCCACAGAGTTTTTTCATAACTGGTTTGGTGTTGAACCTAGTTCGCTCAGCATGGCAGGGTGTTCGCCAGACATTCATGCAGATTGACATGACAAAGCTAACGCTGTAGGGAACAGTGCCCTGTTGAAGTGCTGGTGTAGGTCACAACTTGACACTGCTAAGGCAAATTTCAATCCAGTCGAAATCCTCCCGAGAAGCATTATAAGGTTGGGTTTCACCTCCTGGCAGATTATGTTCAGGGAATAAGAAGGTGGAAAAGGAGAAGTGTTAAAAGACTGAACCTGAGATAAAGAGGTCTGTGAATTGTCTTAGGAAGTAATTGGATCTGAAGGTTTGCCAGCTGAGTAGAACACGTTTTGAAGTCCCAGCAGAGCGAAGTCATGTTATTGCTCTATTTCTATACGTTTGCTTCCAGAAAAACTGTTTTAATGAATCAGTGAAACTGCGAGTGCATGGGTCCTTACTGTTGTCATGAGTCTTGATTTTACGAGTAATTTCTTAAGACCCTCAGATTCCCACTAGAGACATTGCCCTCCGCAGGGAATGGGAATTTCAGGGAGGTCATTTGCACGGGGCCAGATACCCTAGGAAAAGGTTAGGGCTCCCCAGAATCAGTGTGTTTGTACTCATCTGGTGGGAATAGCTGGTACGAGGTAGTATAAAGAACACTTATAGGGAAGAGACTTCTTCCCGATAAATGATAAGCGAAAATCAGCTGTATAAAATGCACTATACTTCGATTAAACCTTTAAACCTGCAGGGAATAATTGCTGAAGAGATTTTTTTTTTTCCCTTCGGTTATTGTATTAAAGTACTCTATGGACACCGTGAAGATGCAGCAGAGTCAAGAACCTACAGGACTGTGGGCATCTACATGCAGTTGTTTCCTACGTGCAAACTGGTGATAGCTTGCTTGTTTTGTTGTAAGAACTACGGACTTGAAGTCAGCCTTGAGCACTGCTCTTAGTGATTAAGTTCATAATGAAACTTTGAGAAGCTTTTAATTGTGTAGGCACCAAATATTACATCAATACTAGTCAAACTTGATTGATAGTAAGAAGTGAAATCATTTTTACAGGCATTTACTTGTTTAAAATGTGGCTCAAAGAAGGCTACTTCCAGCAGCTACTGAATAGAAATTTGAACGGCACTTAAATCCCGTGCTCAAAAAAAAAAAGGCTGAGTTGATTTTCACTGAGATTCATTCCAAATTTTACTTGAGAATGGGATTTGGATGGCTGTTGCATTTAATTCCATAACAGCTTTAATGGTCAAACGTTTCCCCACGCACACTCTCTGTTCTGCTCAAGTCCATTTTATGTTGAGTAGCTCTCAGTTTCCTCAAAGCTCACTGGACAGAATTACTGGACTCTTCTTTTTGTCTTTTGTTAAGAAGTAAGTTACTCATAGTCAGGTTTTGTTTCAAAATGCTTGTGTTTCATACCACACTACAGCATTTCTACGTAGTAGACATAGCACTTTCATATACCCAGGAGATTTTATTTTTGCCATTAGTGAAGGCAGTATTTAGGTGTTATTTATTTCAATAACACTTAAATACCGGGGAAATTAAGCTGGAAACTTGAACAGAAAATTGAAAAGGAAAAAAAAAAAAGGCAAAAGTATTGGACCATTTAAATGGAGGGTGTATATTGCCAAAGCTCCATATTGAGTCATCTTAGAGATTACTAATTGATGTAGTTTTTAAAAGTGAATCCTATTTAACAGAAGTTTGGGAAGGCATCTCTTAATACTTCTGTACTTTAGAAATGTTTGAAAATGACTATTTAAGCAATATTTTGCTATACTGAATGTAGTATGTTTCTTAAATGACCCTTATTAATGTTTTTCTGTCCTTTTTCTAAGGCTTCTCTAGATTTTCGTAGTGGATTTTTCTTTTTTGGGTGGTTCTCTATCCCGTCCTTACAGCTGCTTCTTGCACAGCCACAACTAGGGATAAGAGGAACATGAAGGAAATGGGGTCCTTATTGAAGCAAACTTCTATGGTGCACGTAAATTCATTGCCTTGGTCCCGTTATTTCACATGTAGGGCATGGAGGAATTTGAGTCTTTCTGCAATCTTAACAGGCAGGGAGGGAATAAAACAGACAATGTATTTTTGGTGTTTGAACTTTGGTGTTGTTGGAGAAACTTTATAGCACTTGCTTTACTTTTAACTTCCCAGTCATCTAAAGGTTTAATTTTTTATTTTTTATTTTTGCTAGAAGATTAACCAGGCTCCTCATTTCACCACACAGGTTTTGTAGAAACAGTTCTTAAAGAACTCAAGTTACCATCGAGCAGTGTTAGTGAGCACTGGGCATCTCCGCACCAAGCAACAAAATGTAGAGGTGTTCTTAATGCTGGTGACATTATTCTTTCTTTGGTGGGCTTGCATCAGCTTAAAGTTTTTATTTTTGCGTAATTTATATTTTGCAAAATTGAAGCACAGTAGGGTTTTTTGCCTTGTTGTTGCACTTCAAGAACCTAATTCAGAGATCGCTCTCTGAATTAAGAGCAATAAGAAAAGAGCACGTATGGCACTGCTGCTGTGTAGATGCATACAATCCAAATCAAAAAGTTATGGGGTTAGTGGTTTTGTGAAAGGGAACTGTGGAATGCTTTCTGCATCTTGCTAACTTCCATACCCTACTGAGCATAGCTCAGCACTTAGAGCCAAGTTCTGCCCTCTGATGCACACACTTGGCTCTTGTTTCTGTCTCAGGCATGTGCATCTGAGATCAATACTTGGCTTTTATTTCAAACAGACAAGTAAAGAATGAGTAATGGATACATGTTGCAAATTGAACAAATGGCGTAAGTAAAATTGCCATATTTAATTTAAGAATAAATGATTTTTCTTTGGAACACTCGGTAGGATTGTGGCACTCTTGTCTTGGTTTTACTGTCTCACTGTTGTGAGGAGTAGGAGTTGAACTTGACTGGAACTTTTGCTGCTTATCACCACTTACCTGAGAAGTTGATTTTAATTTAGATTGTCCTGTTAATGATGATCAGTAATCAGTGATCAGGTTTACTTTTTGTTCTGCAAATTGTCCTTCGTTATGAGATCCTCTGCCGTGTTGTTCTTCCATTCCCTAGTGCACTGAAATGATCTTCTCTAACCAGTACTGCAACTGGTGGACTGCTGGGCTGCTGCTGGGGCAGAGAGGATGAGGCTGCAGAATAGGATGGCTGCTGTTGTTGACAGAGAACTGAGACAGGAGGTGGAGGAGAGAGTTGTCTCTCAGCAGAGTTCCTCACAGAGAGAGAAAGCCAGGCTAGACTGAAGGCACAGACTCGATCCAACTCCTAGAAGATGAGTTGGACCGAGCTGCTAAACCTCAGGAGTTACCTAAGCTCTGTGTTGTAGATGGGTGCGTAAAGATGTACTGGCACTGATGGGCAAATGTCTGGAAATAAGTTACTATCAGATCATACTTCCAAGAAGAACTTTCATTAAGTTATCAAAAAAGCAGAAGAATTGTGAGCAACTTTGCATTCTTTTTAACTATTTCTTTTTTTTTTTTTTTTTCCTCTCCCTACCTGTTCTTCTCCCTCTCTCCCCTTACTCCCACCCCTATCCTCTCAGCCACGAAGACTTCGATTTTATATCAGGGACCCGCATGCGCAAGCTGGCTCGAGAAGGACAAAACCCACCGGAAGGCTTCATGGCTCCTAAGGCTTGGACTGTGCTGACAGAATACTACAAATCCTTGGAGAAGGCTTAGGCCTCTTATGAACCGCAGATCAACATTTGACGCCTGATTTATTTACAAGAAGGGGACCACACAGTCACCGTTCGTGTTGCTTTGTTGTGGTGTCGGTCAGGAAGTTCTTCTCTGAAAACAGACTCTTTCTCCCTAACTTAGCATCATTCTTTGCCTGTCCTTATGGGTTCTATTATGTCCTGGCACCTAACTAGCTGCTGGTTTTGATGTCTTTTATTACAGTTAATATTCTTGCAGTAGGATTCTTAATTCTTGTCTTTTTTTTTTATTTTATATATATATATATATTTTACTGCCTCTGTCCTATGAGTTCTGCAACTGTTAAATAGATGCAGCTTTTTTCATGTTATTTAAACTGCTGGATATTTTCTGTTTTCAGTAGTTTGTAGGAGAAAGTGTAATAATTAGACCCTTAACTATGGATAGGTGCTCAAGAAATGGAAAAAATAACAGCTTTAAAATTACTGTTAAAGGTTACTCTATTATTCTCCAGAAGCTTTTAACATTAATTTTTCAGTACTTGTAATTAAAAAGCAGAGTTCTTTATGCAGCATAATTAAACTTTTTTGCTTTCTTTGTTAATTTTTGGACTTCATTGAGTTATCCAATAGTTCCCTTCTGCTGTGGACCTGTAAAGACAACCAAGTAATGAGTAAAAAAGAAAAACACTTTACTCTTTTAATTGATAACTAATCCATATTTTTTTTTGTGCTTCTTGCCTTATGTGTCTATAGGGAATGTTTTATCCTATTTGATTTCACTTGCCAGTGTTTGGTTCCAGCTACAGTCATTCAGGATGAACTTAAAGAAAAAAAAAAAACAAAAAAAAAACAACAAGAAGTATGGCACACTGACCTCAAATTCATGTTTAAGAATTATCACAAGAAAAACTGAAGTCGTTAGATCATTGCAGTTCCTGTGGTAGAAATGCTTAGTCCTGAAGGTGAAGTATCTGTTTTTCAACATCTCCAATGGCAACATAAGGGCAATCTCATTGTTTTCCATGACAGACAAGGCATATTTGCTTCTACTAGGATTCCTCAAAAATCCTGAAGGTGGTTAATTCAGTATGTGAAGCATTAACTGCTGAAGAAAAACATGAAAAATAGAAAGTAAAATACTTCCCTGAGTACACAGTAATACTGATCTGTTGGGATCTTTTCAAGTATTTGCAGGTAATCAGTGGAACAGTCATAACTGTTCTTAGCCTGTTCACTAGGAACTTCACGTATCCTTCTCACAGAAACTTATTTTTCTGTTGGTAAGAGGTGTACAAAGGACAGAACAAAATGGTTTTCAGAATGAGAAAACTGGCCTGCTACATGCCTGGATGAGGCTTGTTCATCTAGATTTTTTTTTTTGGATGGTGGGAGGTTGTAATGAAGGGACCTGTGTAATGAATGGGACGAATACTGCTTGCAGCCTTTGGTTACTTGTTCACAGTAATATTTAAGACAAATGCTTTGAGAATGACTTCCTTCTCTTTTCCTCCTCTGTCTGTTTGAAGAGACACAGAGAGTAACTTTTAGTGGGATTTATACCTCTGTAAGAGGCAAGAAAGTAAGACGGAGTTGTGAAAAGACAGAGGCGTGTTCACCAGTGAACCATGACAATTGAAACTGTTTTGGTAGTGTAAAGCTTACTCCTCTGGAATCGCTGAACAGATTTTCTTCAAATTTGGCTTTGTTTTTAGGTTGCATCAATTTACAGGACATGCAGAATCCAGAAGCAGAAGTCATTTCCTATCTGTGCAGGTGTACATGCAAAATTGCAAGCGTAACTATGAAGGTGGACAAGAATTATCAGCTGGTCAAAAGTGAATTGCTGTTGAAAGTTGGAGTTGACTCTTTGCTGTCAGGTTTGATTCTGAAAGTAATTAGGGTGAAAGATACAAAAAATATTTTGGCAGAATGGCAAACAGGGGTGGAAGTGTGCAGAAGTAAATGTTTTATAAGTGCTGCTTGTGCTATATGAAGTCTGGACAATATGTGGAGTGGTAAGCACGAATGTTGAGTCATTCCATAAAGTTAATTTAGAAGCAGGAATGTCTACAAACAAATTAATACAGTGATAAAAAGCAGATCGAGTTTTCATGCTTAACTCTTTTGATGCTGAGGCTCTGTTGTTATAGTGCTTCTAGAAAGCATTCCTTGCAATGCTGGGTATTAAAGAAGCCTTCAGGTTTATTCTAACTTATTATTTATTCTAAAGCAACAGCTACAGCATTCCCAGGGGAATTTCCTGATAAAGAACAAGAGCATCTGGTCAATTTGTGGGCAGAATGTGCTCTGTACAACAGCAGTTTTCCCGTATCATGAATGTTTTCATTGTAGAATGCTGATTTTTCCTCTTCAGTTAGTGTCTTCTGTAAGGAAGTTGTATTTTACATGGAAAAGCTACTCCAGAAATGATTCCAAAATGTTCCCCTTCCCTCCCACTTTCTGCCTCTGCATTGCTATGCATTACAAGTGGTTCTTTACCTGCTGCTCTCACACAGGATAATTTATGGGTATTATCCATTGCTTTTTGTAGGGTCCCAGGGTGATTGCTGACTTCTAACTGATCATTCTGATGTATTGGGCGTGTGAGATACGAAAGCAATAACACCCATCCATATGGCCGATGCAAGGACAGTCTGGACCCAGTTTTCCAAAATAGATGGATTAATGAGGTAGTTGGAGATTACCAAACCCTAATCCTTGGAGTTAAATAAATGCTAGAAAATTACTACCTTTCCTAGGTGAACTGATGAGTTCCAGATGTTTTTGATTCCTGCAGTACATACGAGCAACTTGAGAAACAGGCAAAAATTTTTTTATTTTTTTTTGTGTGTAAAGAGCCACACAGCTGAGAATTCTGTTTTCTTATGTGAGATCTCAAATGCCTGTGTTCGACTAACGGGAATACTTGGGATGACTTCTCAAGTAAGGATCTGAGGGTCACAATGGAAAAATACTGGATATGTGCTAAGGGTGCTGTCTTTTACCTGATTTTGTTCCTTTCAGTAGGGGAGCTAAACACGAACAACTCAGTAATGCATTAGACACACAAAATGGAACATGTAGAATAGGTCACAATTTTTTTTAGACACAGTTTGGAGATAAGCAAGCTTCTACATCTGGAATAATTCAGTAGAAGTCTGCAGGGGGAGGATGTGAGTGGATGTCTTGGCGTGGTGGTGGTGGAAATAGAACAGGGCTACCGTGGGCTGTGTAGACGGTACTGTAAGGGGCTTGAGTTTGGACCTCCTTTGCATTTTGTATTTCCTTAATTTCAAGAAGTTCCACATGTGGGTCACACAGAGGGTTAAACTTACTGCCTTTCCCTGCTACAAAAGCAATAAAAATTACTTCGGGCATCCTGACAAAATACTAACAGAGTAGTCCAGATGCTTTCTCTTCCTGATGGATTAAAGGTGCTAATCAGTATCTTATAATCAGTGTGTTACTCCCTTTCCCAGTCAAAGCTGGCAGCTTCAAAGGCAAGTATATGTGTGTGTCTGTTACTGCATTGACACACATGGCACCCCTCCTCATCTCCAGTCATGAACCTTTAAGCCTTTGTGCTGTGCACTGTAGGAACACAGAAAGAAGCCCTCATCTCTGTTACAAATTAGCTTTCCTATGAGTCAGAAGAGAATTTTACTGCCTCTATGGCACCATCTCCGACAGCAGGGAAAAGAAAAGCCTTTCCTTCTCTTATGTAGGAGAATTCACAAGAAAAAATGAGATGGAAAGTGATCTTTTGTGCAACTTTGCAGGGATGTCTGTCTGTTCATCTACAGGAATGGGATTTACAGTGGTGCCTGAACAAGAGTCAGAGGTGTGGAGGAAAGGTATTCCAGTCCTCAAACCTGATGCAGAATTTTTCACCACTAACCATAAAAAAACAAGACCTTCAGGCTGGAGTGAGTTGGCTGAATTGGCATTACAATGAATGCAACTGATAGCTCAGAATTAGTGTTTTCTTTTTTTCTGGTTTATGAATTGGTCTCAGAAACTTAAAACTCAAAACCCTTAATTAAGCTGCTGTGAAAGAGTGCTGCTAGTTCCGTTTTTTTCATATTTAATGCTGCAAGCTGGACCTGATAAGCTAGGTTGCCAAGGGTAGCTTTAAAGCTTTCCACATCCAGTTTATTGGATATGGGAGTTCCCTGCCAACAGCGAAGCAGGTGTTGGGTAAACATGTGATTCAAAGGAAGTCAGTGCTAAGGTTTCTGCTCAGTTGCATTGTTTTACCTTGAAGAAAGCCTGAGGGCTGGCGTAGCAGGGCCTCTCTTAAATTTGCTGTCTCCTTTCATGAAAAACGTTTTGATTATGAATATAGCTCGATTTTTAGTGGTCTTTTGAAGTGTCCATTGAGGGGTTTTCTTTGCGTCTCCTGCAAGCTCTGTGCCTGCTCTTGTGATATTGGAGAATTTTTTACCTGTATCCCTTTTCATTGTTTAGTTTTTATTAAAATCTCTTTTTTCTTTATGGGAGGGTGTATATGTGCATGAGCCAGAGTCATGCCTTCAGCATTTCCAGAACTGTTTGCCCTAGAAACCTCATCTTGATATCATTTTGAAGTTGAAGGGGGAAGGCAACTACACTGAAAGCTAGAAAACAGTGCTTTAAAACCACATCTGGAATTCTCAGACAATAAATGGCTCCAACTTAAAACAGAATGCAGAGATTTTAATATGTCATAAAACCCGAGGAGCCTTGGATTCAGTATAAGGACTGTCACCCAACCTTCATGTTAAAATCCACTACACAACACTTTGAAGTATGACTGTAGACAGAATGCTACCTGTCTGTGTATAAAAGGAGGAAAAAAAAATATCTTTTTTTCAGCATAAACTTCAGTGGAATGGAAATAGTGCCTGAATCTTTCTTTTATCCTCTGCAAACAGAGCTGTTTCTTCTATGGAGTCCTATGCTTAGCAGTCTAAATTTCACCTCATGAGAAGAATAAGCATTTTGGCCATATCCACATGTCTTCATCTCATAACAGCAGTTATGATGTCAAGTAAAAGGCTTGCAGTCTAGGCTGTGAGTTTTCAGGTTTTCCTGAGCACCTGCAGGTCTCCAGGCTTTCCACCCAGATGGCGTTTGTCCAAATTTCTATGGACTAGATCAATTATTTCTGTAATGATTGATAGTTAAGTTTGTTGCAACAATTATGATGAGACAGAGAGAGAAACCAGTATCCACATGTTAACACTCTCCGGACAGCGTTGTTGCATTTGATTTATTACCAAACATGGCATTTCAGGAGGACAAATCCACTCCTCTAACTTGGAAATGTTACTCTGATTTCAGGAGTGCTACTCAGAGAAAGAGAAAAAATTAGGCTCTCATACTATTAACTTGATTTCATTGACAGCTTTCTCAAAGGCTTAAGTGGAAGCAGAAGAGACTCCTTGATCCTTAAACATTGGGCTCAAAAGGGCTGCCTGCTGGAATGGAAAACTACAGTCTGATAGTCTGTGGGAGGTTGGTTGTAGGATTGATAATGTGTCATCAAGGTCTGCTTTGTTTCTAGTTGATGAACACAATATTCTACCACCTATGAAAAGCAGTATTTTGATCATTTAATTTTTTTTTTTCTGGATAATAAAGACAGTCATGAGACAAGACCATGTTTATACATAACTTCCCAGTAGGAAAAAGTTTACGACTATTATAGTTTATATTTAAACTATGATACAG